AAAAATTAAAATATTTTAATTATTTTTAAAGTATAAATAAAGATATTATAATTTTTTTAATATTTTATTAAAACGATATAATTTTAAAATATTTTTTACCTAATTTTTTTATAATAACATTTAATAAACATTAATTTCTATAAAAAAAATTAATTAAAAATATTTTTAATTATATAAATTTTAAAATTTTTCCTTTACTTCACTTAAAAGAAAATTATAATCACCAATTACAAAAGAATTTTCCCTTTTGCTTTTAACAGACACGAATCATGGAAAACAACTTCTCAAATTGTGCCTTGACCGATTTCAATAGCATCCGATACCTTAAACTTTTCGACAGAGCAAATGAAAATTCTTTGATAGATGACATTATTATTCCATAAAAAAAACTTAATGTTTCTTGTGTTTCACTCTACTTGTCATTGTGGGCACCTATGTCAAAAAACCAATTAAAAATTTTTATTTTTAATGAAACAAAAAAAATAAAAAAAAATAAATTTTCTGGTTCTCCATTTTTCCTTTGTCCTGGATATATTCTTCTATTTGCAAAGAAGACTAAGCTTTTTACAAACTATTCTAATGCAGGGCAGCTTGCATGGTACCAAAGAGACCCACACATGCTTTCATCCAGTGAGCGCCATGAACACTAAAACTCGTCCATTTCATAATTTGAAGTCAAAACTCTCTTTCTTTTACTAAATGGGTTTCTCTCTTCTTCTTTTTTTAGATCCTTGATTGAGTTATTATAATCTTTAGCAAAAAAATGAAGGGAATCAAGTCTATTGATCATTGATCGGTGCCCCTGTTATGCAAAAAATCAAGGTGTTGGCTGAGAAACCAAAATTTAAAGGTTGAATAGAGAAAAATCTTTTAAGTTTTTTAATTTATTTTTTATTTTTTAAGAATTTTGGAGGTGGTGATTCTAGCTCTACTTAGTAAAGAGTGAGAGAAGGGAGTTTACTTGTCAAAGAGGATAGTGGTGAGAAGCTCTATAATTTTAACTTGAAAAATGAGTAAAGGAGTGGAGTAATCAAAAAAGAAGATTAAGAACACTGGCGTAATCAAATTTCACCAAAA